ATATACATCTGAGAGTATCGATTGGTATAGAGAACACTCAACCCCAACCGAAAGTTGAACCCTTGTTCCACTCGAACCGGAGGTGCGGGCTCTCACTACACCACCGACGTCGTCGCTCTGCTATCACTATTCCGATAATGTGGTAAGAGCACGCACCCCCGATACGGATGGAGCGCAAGTTCAAATCCCACACGGGGTCGAGTGTTTTGCATATCACTCAAAACTTTTAGATTGATACGAAAATGTTCGAAAGATCATACCAAAAGAAAAACAATGAACAAAAAGAAGCGAAGGGAAATAAATCTGAAAATCAGAGGTGTAAAAAATAACACAAGGGCAAAATATACCCATATCGCGTTGCACCTGCTCTCGGTTGCCTCTATCAGACTTTCGCGACAATAGTGATTCCACCGATCCCTTTGCCACCCTAAGTGGAAAATCATTATTCGTTATATTGAGGCATCTTGAGGTTCATGCATGCTATCCGGAGACAAATGAGAAAGCGACCTCCTTTGTTGAACAATAACCTTTGATAAAAGTGTTAGTAATCATCCGAAAACTTAACTCTCTGCCTACTGCGCTAAGGGGACTTTCTTGTAAAAGCCTTTTTATGACTCTGTAGCAGAAAGGAAACATTTTTGCTTGACAAGCATATTTCTCACAGGACAGAACGATTAAGTCTCGACAATTCCAACGCTGTGCTTATTTTCTGAAAGGACCGTTTTACTAAAAAGTAACAAAGAAAACAGGATTGAGTTTCACGTTGCGGAGAATTTGCTTGACGGCTAGTGAATGGTGGCCGTGGATTTCAATCGGCGATGTGTCAGTCGCATTGGCACAACTCAGTTGTGGACTGCAATCTTCGTTACTCAATTCGGGACTTTTTCCCTCCTTTGGAAGAAGCTCCACTCAAACCGTATGACTCTGACACTCCGAGACTTCTTCTACGCGTTCATTTATTTTTCGTGCCTCCAGAAAAGTAACGGTAAAAGCGCATGGCCATTGTAAAATTTCATTTCATTTTGACCATTACAGCATTATAAAAGGGTTTTCTCAAGAAGGAATATATAGCGCAGTAGCCAGAGATTTGAGCTTTCGAAGGGTCTCTGGCTCTGTTAGAGAAAGTCCATGTCCGGCGAAAGGGATCCTTTCTTTATCTGCCTCCGGATAACACGCAAGAAGCAACCTTAGTTCACAGATTATTCAAGTATCTAAACAACACACCTAGGAATCTGATCGACATATTGAGGCTTCACAGCAGCTATTAGATTGTCTTCAACAATCTTCTTAAAATAATTCTGCAGTTCAGATCCACGAAAATATTCGATAAGGCTTGTCCAGTCAGGAGGGGCCTAGAATTTTTTCTACATGATTATTTACCATTGGAAACAAATACACTGCTATTGTAAGAAAAACACCACGATGATACCAAAAAATATCACTTACATCGTATTTTCCGAGATTGGGCTTCAACTTTCCAGCGAGAATTTTCAAAGCGGTAGATTTTCCGATACCATTCGTTCCGACTAGCCCAAGAACCTGCAGATGGAATTGATATACGACGATCTTCATGAACGAGAAACTTGCACTTACTTCTCCTGTACGCGGAGTTGGCAAGCGATGTAGCTTGAAGGAGTTCATCGAGTAGCGATGTGTTGTTTCGTTGGCAAGGTTTGACGGTAGATTTATGATCTTGATAGCATCATAGGGACACTTCTTCACACATATACCACATCCAATACACAAAACTTCGGAGATTTCAGCAATCGTTGACGATGCCTCAACAACTATGCATTGCTTCCCTGAAAAAAAAAAATGCTTCATGTTGCTCTATAACATCGACTGCTTTTAGAATCTCGCAATAAACATTCAAAATAATTTAAAAAAATGCTTAAAGCCTAAACGAGGTTTGTACGCCAGGGCCATACACCGGTGTTTCGGAGGTTTCGGCCTCCTCGTCAGCGACCCCGCCCCACATTAAGCTCTGCATTGAATAAGGCATCCACACACGCCTCCCTCCTCGCTCCAATGCAGGGCTCAATGTGGGGCGGGGGTCACTGACGAGGAGGCCGAAACCTCCGAAACACCGGTGTATGGCCCTGGCGTACAAATCTCGTTTAGGCTTTAAGCATTCTTTTTTGGCTTCATGTTGCTCAAATACAGACCAGATGTCACCCTTACATCCAATAATACTGAATGATGTGCAAAACTATGACATCAGGCGAGTCTCGAACTTGCATTTCACCATTTTCGAGGACGCGTTTCAAGCAATCGAACTACCGACGTCTGTTTTCCCACCACTTCTTCTACGTTACAACACATCAACCTGTCAGCAACCAACTGTTAAGGGTTTGGCCTGGTAGTCGATATCGACATTGAACCCAGTCACGATGTTAGATACTGGACACAGTAAGATCAAACAAATTATACCTTTATTTCGAGTGCTTTGTTTAGATCACGCTCAAATTTCAATAGATCCTTTCATTATTATTTGAGCCAACTTGTCATGTGGTCTGGTAAGGGCTCTTGTACAGCCCGATACACGTGTTTCGTCCCTACAGACTCGTTAGCCGGGCAGCACTCGAAATAAAGGTATAATATGATAAAAATACCAGCCAAAGAGCAATCGAGTGCGCAACACTCTGTGTTAGGTGAAAATTACACTTGACATAGAGTGTAAAACGTTCGTCTTCGATAACTCTCTGTAGATAGAGTAGGGCTCCCGAGTGAACTGACTATAAAAATATCGAAAGACGACGGGTTCTGCCCGACTGACGAGTCTGTAAGGACGAAACACGTGTATCGGGCTGTACAAGAGCCCTTACCACACCACATGACAAGTTGGCTCAAATAATAATGAGAGGATCTATGATCAAACAGATTTCTTTTAATTCACTCGCTTTTAACAGTAGGTTGATGACTCCTGGGAAAATTCTTTATCTCTCGATTCTCTTAGGAATTTCTGTAGCATCATAACACTGCGAAAAAGCAGTAAGAACACAGGAAATCTTGGAATTTCTATAAGTACAATGATGTCTTTGTTGTCTTTGTTTTTGACTTTCACATGCGCCGTATGGGTCTATGGCATCGATCGACAGACGACACATGACAATTAATCGAGACGAAACCTACAACCCTAATGCTTGAAGGTTTCCTCTACACGTTCATATGCATTTTGCGCCTAGGCTTAGGTTGCTTAGGCATGGGTTAACGTTTGAGCTTATCAGCGCATTTACTTGGCAATTTTTAATGGAGTGAAAAGCCAAAGCATTGGAACGACAGGGCTACGTTTGTTCTCCAAATAAGATGCAAAAATCCTAAAAACCTTCGCGAAAGGAGAAGAAAGTTTCAAGAAAAAAGAAAGGCAAAAATCCTCGCGATAACGCGCGACACGTGCGAAACACGATTTTATTCTTAATGCTGAAGAGCTGTAAGGAGGCATTTTAGAACGAAAAATAGACTTTTGAATTCTCCGAAATTTAGGCTTTCGGATGTTCACGGAGAGTATACCGTTCCACACGCCAGGATATCGAAAATAAGGTGGGCCGGACACGTGATGCGCTTCAACGACAACCGATGGACGAGAGCCGTTACCGACTGGATTCTTCGGGACGTCAAGCGCTCTAGAGGAAGACCACCGACCCGTTGGTCCGATTTCTTCACGAAAGCGATGGAAGAAAGATATGATGCTCAGCGAATCCCTAGAGCGAGGAGGACCCACTGGACTACTCTTGCACGCAATAGGGAAAAATGGAAAAGTTGCTGGCGCCCGCTCGAGTCACTCGACGAGCAACGGGACGACAGGTGATTCAGGTGATTGAGAGTTTGATGCAAAGCCTTCGTCCAGGAAAAAAGGTTCCATCAAGAAATCCTAGCCAGATGACGGAAATGATTCGAAAACCCTATACAAATAAGTGAAAGAAAATATGATTGTTCACGAGCTCACCCATTTTCACGACGGGACAGGACCTTTTGCAAAGTAAACCGCAGTTTTTCGGTTTACAACGATCCTTTTCAACTATAGCGATTCGCAAAGGTCTATCGGTCTCCTTTGACTTTTCCAGTGGCCCTTTTCTACTCATAGTTACTTCGGAAAAATTCGGAGCTACTGAAGAGAAGTGCTGCTACGTTTGAGCAAAATCTGAAAGTAGAAAAACACTTTGAATATCGAATTTGATTTCCAAGCAAAAATATAAAACCACGGAAACACTTTGAATCGTCGCACGACAGAAAACCATTTTCAAATATAATTCGTTGAAAAATAGTGAGAAAAAGACGTCGCTTTCAATAAAAAGTGCATGTACTTCCGGACATAAAATAAAGGATTAAGCTTTCGGCGTTGATCAATCCCTTAGGGATGCGCCATGCATTCGACTTCAATTTTTAACTTCGTTAGAGGTAATTGAATGCATATTTGGCCTTTACAATGACTCGCGGTGGCCTGCCGCTGAACCGAGTCAGTGCTGCTTATCCTCCCAGACAAGTCTGAGACCTGTCTTGTACCAATTTACCGACCCCGGAGGGATGTATGGCTTGGTGAGCCATGAGTGCGAGATCCAAAACCAGTGACCTCGTGTGCGACGCAGGGCACCTCTAACCACTGCGCCACATGCGTTCTTACTTCCGGACATAGCTTAAATCAAATCGAGTAAAATATAACATGAGAAATAGTATAGAAAAGAAAGAGAGAAAAGACGAAAGAGAAGAGAAAAGGAAAAGTATAGGAGCAATAATGACAAAGATCACAAAAGACAACGAATCATGAGTAGTATCAGAGAAGCAAAGATCATAAAATATCCCGTATTTCAGAGAGATTTAAAGAAACAAAGATCACAAAATTCACACTGTAAACTAAGCTAAATATCCTATAATACATGATTAAGTGAGTAAACAATAGCATAGTTGGATAATCGGTCAGCATTCTTTTTTATTTGACCGCCACTTGCGGTGGTATGATGTTACACTATACCCAATGATGTGAAGTGCTGTGCAAAAACATTTGCGCCAGCCGGGATTCGATCCAGATCTCACTCTTTGCGGGAGCGTATGTTAACCGTTGCACCACTGACGCGTCGAATAGCGTACGCTGCCGAAAGAGTGAGATCTGGGTTCGAATTCCGGCTGACGCAAATGTTCTTGCACAGCACTCCACATCATTGGGTATAATAGATTTACTTCTATATAAATATAAGTTAGCCAATAATTGATTGATATACTCTAACACGAATTTTTTAATTTACAGGTTTTAATAAATATTTTTTTATTTATATAAATAAAATGACATCAATACGAAACACTTTCGGATCCGTGAGCTTCCAAGGACGCTTTCGAAAACATTCGGGACTTAAATGAAGAAAAAAACCCGGAAAATAGGACGAAATAGGATGAAATGGAGGGGGGGGGGGAGTCGAACATCAAAATTCGTGAGGATAATGTAAGTGGTGCGCGTATTAGAATTGGAGCGCGATATTGACCACCTGTTTAGCGTGTGTGTGTGTGTCGCAGTGGTTAGGGATACTTTGTGGCGAACATGACCGATCGATCGGTGGTCGATGGATCGATCCCTTCTTCCCTCGGGCTTATGATGCCCTCCCCTATACCCCTCTGGGCTCGGTAGATTGGTATCGGACTCGATTGGGTGGATAGAAGAGCTGATTAGATAGAGCGCTAGGCCACTGCCACATTATGATGGCCAAATATGCCAAAGAAAAAAGTATGAGTCATTACCTATTTACTTCTGACGATGCTGCGTATGGAGTCCAATGCACGACGTATTTCTCAGTGATTGATCAACGCCGTGTGATTTATCCTTTATCCTTTTTTATCCCTCATCTAGTCCCGTAATCTAGTCGATTTAGTCGATCGAAGGGGACCATATCTATTGTTGGATTACGATGATCCGTAGCCGGATTTTCTGAGTGCACCACTTGTTCTTCCGAATGGTTTACAGCCTCATCGTGGCTGGGAGGTGTTCCAGGGTATGGAGGTGCGAAGTACAGCGAGGGGTTCAACCCTTCAGCAGGGCCGCCCAAAGTGAGTAATCCGACGTTACCACTCGGAAAGCCCAGATAAGAGTAAACCGTACCAGGAAGACCGCCGTTTTGGTAGCTAATAGTCGCAAAGTGGTAATCTCCCTAGGATCCACGAGCACCGGCGACTGCTCTAATGTGATGACGACCTGAGGAAGCCTCAGCTAGACTAACCTCGGGGCTCCAGGGAACAAAATAGCTAAACTGGCACATTTTGATTTGCTTGGGTCTGCACAGTTCGTGGGTCTGAACTATAGAAGTATCATTTTTGAGCTGACGGATAACTGATTCTTTCGTTTTGAGTGTTTTCTTGAGACCACAGCTCGAATTTCAATATGCCTGACAATCGTTTTTTGAGCCACCATGTCAGTGGTCTATCAATGAGGGGTGACTTATAGAGCCCGACACACGTGTTTCGATATCTCGTCAGTCGGGCAATTACCCTTTCTCGTCTTTTGCCAATCCTGTGTGGGTGTTCCAGTCCCCACAATAACTGTAACTGCCCGACTAAAGGGATAACTGATTGTTGTACACCACCTGTCCTTACCTTGACCTGTTTTCTATTTGATTTCCGGTATTGTTCTTTATATTACCTAGAGGATGGACTTTTATACACGAAGAGATCACTTGTTCAAAACATGTACCGAACGGCTACAAGTGCTTATCTGGGAGGAAGGAGAGAGAGGATTAACGAGACTAGGCGCGAAACCTAGCGATATCAAATGGCTATGAAAGAGCAACTAATGGACTCAGGTTAATAAGGAGAGATAAACCCCAGAACACATTTAACGGTAACAGTGCGTTCCAAACTCAAAGGGGAAAATTTCCTTGAAACTACCTTTCATAACTAATGAAGTAAGCGCCGCTATCAAAGGGTGCTTAAACAGTGGTCTGAAAAACTCCGTAAGAATTACAGATATCCCACTAGACAATATATCCCACTAATGTGGGGCATGGGCGACTGACGAGGGGGCGAGACCTCCGAAACACGCGTGTATAGCCCTGGCGTACCAACCTCGGGTAAGGCTTTGAACATTCTTAAAAATTTATATTGAATATTTATTGGGAGGTTTTTAAAAGCAGTCGATGCCATTGATCAATTTTGTTCTACCAGGGGAGATCCATCGACTGAGAAGTGGTGATGGCACAATGCCATTGTACACTGTGCCGTCACCTCTCGCCTCTTCCCTAGCTACAGTGCAGGGCTTAATGAGGGCGTGGGCCATTGACGAGGAGGGCGAGACCTCCGAAACTTAAACTTTCGTAGAAATTACACTGAATGTTTATTGCGACGTTTTCAGAACAGTCGAGGCCTTGGATCAATGTCCGAGCTGTTGAATTGTTTTGCATGAGATTGAAAGTGCATACGAATATTAATCAAATAATTACATGTGGTGTGATATAGTACATTTAGGCTCTGGTGAAGGCGGGGTCGCCAAAATGTTAGTCATCAAATTTCAGAAAACATGGACTACCAGCCTCTTTCATGTTCTGATTCAAGAAAGAGACAGTTCCTGAGAAATTTTGCAGTTTCGTTACTCATGCCGAGGTCTTTAAAGAGATTCCGACTTTCAAATTATTACTCTTATACTTTTTCGGGCACATTTTGAAGTGTTTACTCCACACACAATTTTGAGCTGTGAAACATTGAATGAATTAACGCTTACTTCACCCTCTTCCATTTTGGTGGAGAAAATGATGATTCAGTAAGTATTTTTTTTTCTATTTTTTATCTTTGTATTGTAATTTGGTCGTTCTTCACAATTTTTTTTTCACTGTGCGAATCCCAGTACCTAACATTCTATCACATTTTCGTCTTGAACGACGTAGAATACCGTCGAACACGTTTCTTTGCAATCCCAGAGGAAAGCCAGGCTAGAGCGTTCCATAGGGAGGTTGTTGATGACTGCCCGAGAGTGTTGGATGGTGGAGACTACTACCACGCCGTGCATCATAACCACTCTTCCACGCGTCCATCCCCCTTAGCCAAGGTTAAGCTTCAAATTGCCATAACATTTGAACGGGGCGCATGAGCACGCACGTATAACCATGCATACAAATGCCCGTAAACATAAAGAAAAGCTGGAGCTCTGGCAGGATCTATCTCTGATTATCTTCAAACATTCGATTTCATCAGGCATCGTTACAGTGGACTGAACGTATATCTGGCCTTTTCCATGTCTCCTCAATGTTCACCAAGCCATCCATCCCCCCCCCGGGGTCGGTAAATTGGTATCGGACTGGTCTCAGACTTGCCTAGGAGGATACCAAATATGCATTCAACCACCTCAAGCGAAGTTACGAATTAAAGACGAATGCATGGTTCATCTTTCAGGGAATGATAACACCTTGAGCCTTATAGTTTATCGTTTATACCTAATTTGTCTCATTAGCAGTTCCAATGTGTCCTTTGAATTCCGGAAAGAAATAATTGTACTGCTGATGATAGATTTGTTTACATACTCAGCTTTTCAGCTTTTTCAGTTTCAGCTACTCACTACTTTTACAGCGACGTCCGCTGTTGTTTCCAAGTTCTACACGGGATCAGACCATCGCCTCCTTCGCGCAACGTTCCGATTTTCGAGGAGAGGAGAGAAAGCCGCTAAATTCAAACAACGAAGTCCCAGAACTACCATAAACTGGGATGTATTCAAATCATTAGTCGGCTCTTGGGAAGATACCGTTGTCGACAACATCGACGAAGAATACGATCGACTCGTTGAATATCTTCACGTTAGCGCTAAAAAAGCCGAGAGTCCTAAGGTCACGAAGAGACGCTTGTCTCCGCAGACACTCGAGCTGATACGTCAACGTGGAATCGCACGAGCTGCAGGCAACCGAAACCTTACGTCCGAACTTGCGAAACGATGCAGAGAAGCGATAAAAGAAGACCTTAAGAGAGAAGAGCAGCAGTTATGGCAGAAGCTGCAGAAGCTGGGAAGAGCATTCGCAAAGCCCAGCGAGGCTTCGCCAACTATAAGACCAAGATGATTGCACTCCGATACCCTGACGGGACACTTACAGCTTCCAGAAGGGCTATGGAGAAAATCATCCACCAGTACTACTCGGATCTCTTCGCTAGCCATGTTCTCTTACCGTCATATAAATTGAAAGAGGACGAATATGTCGTTCCACCGGTCCTTCCTTCCGAAATCCGACATGCTATATCGTCGGTGAAAAACAGAACAACACCCGGTCCAGACAGGATTAGACCAGAACACCTGAAGAACCTGCCGCCAGTTCTCATCAACACCCTGGCTCGGCTCTTCACTCGCTACCTGTCAGAATGCAAGGTCCCTATTCAATGGAAAACCAGCAAGACCGTATTGTTGTTCAAAAAGGGAGACCTTCACGACATAGGCAATTATCGCCCAATCTGCTTGCTGTCCGTTGTCTATAAACTCTTTACTCGAGTCATCCTGAACAGGATTGACAGAACACTGGACGAAGGACAGCCATGCGAACAAGCAGGGTTCAGAAAAGGATTTAGTACCATGGACCACATCCACACGATCACAAGACTCATTGAAGTTTCGCGAGAGTACAAACAACCACTCTGTCTCACTTTTATCGATCTGAAAAAGCCTTTGATTCAGTGGAAACAGAAGCGGTTATAGAGGCTCTGGATAACCAGGGCGTCCCTACTCGGTACATAATGATCCTTCGTGAGCTTTATAAAGATTTCACGACCAGAATATCTCCATTCTACAACAATATCACCATTGACGTAAGAAGAGGGGTTCGACAAGGCGATACAATATCGCCAAAACTATTCACTGCCACCCTACAAAACGTCATGCGAACATTAGAATGGGACGAAATGGGAGTGAAAATTGACGGTCGACAATTAAACCATCTTCGCTTTGCTGACGATATCGTTCTCATAACACCAAACATCAGCCAAGCGGAACGAATGTTGACTGATTTCGATAACGCCTGTGGAAAGATCGGTCTTCAACTGAATCTAACGAAAACAATGTTCATGAGGAACGGATGGGTTTCTAATGCCCCATTCACGCTCAACGGAACGACAATTTCCGAA